TAATGCAAAAAACTGTATCAAAAAATATTTGTCATGAGACAAGTTAGGGCACTGTTTATGAACCGTACTTTTAAAAGTACCGTGGAAGAATATGTGAAAATCACTGCATTGAGAGAAATTATGTTATATGCAGTATGAAATATGCTTTGACTGATGGAATAGCGTGAGTTATATCAGCAGTAATATACAAATACAAAGCAAGAATATTGGAGTGTTCTGACTTTTTTCTTTTATATACCGACCCTGCAGCTGGAAATAAAGTACGTTATATATAATATATTCCTTAAAATTTGTATTCCTTATATATAGAATAATGTGACTGACATAAAATTAAATGTCAAATTTGGATAACAACAGAAATAAGAAATAAAATTGAACATTGCAATAGTTAGACATTTTCATTTTTTTGCAATTCTTGTAGTGAACAAGACCAATCCAAGTTTTAAAAATATAACAGATTGTTGTTTGAAAAGTATTAGGCATACCTTATTAAGTTCCAATAAAGATTTGTTTATGTCCATCTTCTCTATTTGATAGAATTAAGGCGCAGTTGACTTGTGACTCGTTGGATAAAATGTATCAAAACGTATTGTTTATTGACGTAGAACCTTTAAAGCAAATAACTATAACCATATAATTATGTAAAAGAACAATTTCTAAATAAGAACTAGCGCTCGATTTCTAAGATTATATTTCAATGTATAATATTAAATTGTTATTGTGAGTTTTTGATCAAATATTCAATATTTTGTATTCAGATACTAATACATTTTTGATCTTTCACTAATTCGCTTAAAAATGTGCCGCGCGCGCAAAATGATAATCTTGCAATAATAAATACATTATCAATGAAAGAACGTAAACGTAGCGCGCAAACGCAAGCGCGACTAGCAACGCCAAATGCAAAAGAAAATAGCGCGGCGCTATTCAACTCGGTCCCATCGTGAATTGAAGTGAGTTAATTAATTGAGTTAAACTAGGGTTTAACATTACGGGTATCGGCCTTACAAAATGACACGAAAAAGGAGATGGCTCTGAAATGCACAAAAAATGAGTTTTGTTCATGTTTTATTATCCAGATAGGTAGTTCAACAGGTATATTTTTCTTCCCGGGGGTTGATTTGATTGAAAAACCGTAAATTTTGCGATAAAAATTGTCATCTTTGAAATCTTCCAAAAAAACATGCCTTACAAAATGACAATTTCGTCACGGCTGTCATTTTTTAACAGCAGCCTATAGAAATTTGATTTCACCTAGGACAGTTAGATAAATATAATAGATTGAAGATTAGAATAGCTTTTACAGGAAAAAGGATGATTAAAAAAAGTTGGGCAATTTCGCGTGAGATAGTGCCTTACAAAATGACAACCCAAAACGGCATCACTTCAAATCCGATTTGGGAAAAAGTTTCATTATTCTTTCACGTGTCTTACTGTTAGATATATATGTTGTTCATATTATACCAGTTCTGTTTTTACCAAAATATATTTAAAAAGGAACATTTTTTATACTTTGAAAAAATTTAAAAAATGTCATTTTGTGAGGCGTAAAAATAATTTTTCGTTTTCATACTTGAACACAGTATTTGGTTATATTTGATATTTTCTATGACTGGATAGATCACTTTTCAGTGTTTAGTTAACGTTTGACATGTTTTAGGAGTTGTTATTACTCTCTGCTTTCACAAAATAGAAGCTTTATTTCGTTGAGTTTTGAAATCAGAGTTTGAAATCAAAGAGTTTGAAATCAAAGTTTTGATATCAGAACTGCACTTTTTTAATGCTACTTGATTGTAAACTGTCAGATTATGATTATTTTTAACTCCTTCTTGTACTGACTGTCTCTGATCCATTTTAGATGATGAAAATAATTCAATCTGAAACATTGTCATTTTGTAAGGCTTTTCGGTGTCATTTTGTGAGGCATTTTGATCAAAATTGATGATCAAACAAACACATTTAGGCTCATCATCAGCTTACTGGGTTTAAGAATATCAATAATTAGGCAAGGGGCATCCAATATAAATATGCCATCTTTGTATCATAAAATAAAACTGTCATTTTGTGAGGCATAACACTGTCATTTTGTGAGGCTAGGTCATTTTTTTGTCATTTCTTCTACCAAAGTCACTAAATCAGTTTTTTTTATTTGACCAGAGTAGTCTTTGATTGACATAAGTCATGGTAGTACCTGGTTTTCTGGGGTTAAATTCAAAACTTTGGTCTCCATTCTGGGTAACAGTTAGGCGGGGCAATGACTGAACAGCAAAAACGTCCATATTTATGTAAGAAATATAGATTCTATGTCATTATCATTCCTTGGGAAGTGTTAATTAATGCTTTTTCTTTCATACAGTAAAAGGAATAGGGTTCAATGTATAGAGAACCTAAGCTACAGCATGGTCTATGTGGGCTGTCATTTTGTGAGGCCTGTCATTTTGTAAGGCCGATACCCGTAGTTAGTATCAGGCAAATCTGTAAGATGTCAGTTAGCGTTATAACTCTTACATCCGAATGTGAGAGCTCAGAATATAATAGATTATTTTCGGTTAGAGACAAGAACTGGAGAATACATGTCTTCGCTTGTTGTTAATTGTAGTACATATTTAAATTTCAACTCTATTTAAAAATCAGACGAAAGATCTGGTAACTTATCTAGTAACTGAGATCTGGTGACTGGTAACTGGTGTCTTGGTTAGCGGAAGCAGGTACCTAGTCAAGATTAATTGCCATGAACTTACAACTTGCATCTTAATTCTTGTAGATTTTGCATCTTTTGGACTTTCTGATCTGCCACACCAACAGATCTTTTGTACAATGTACTTTCATTACACTGTGATTCAAACTGTAAAGAATGAATTAGGTTGTAAGTTGCGTCCCCGCTGTTTTATCTGGCGTTCAAGAAAAAAATGGCTAAAAAAGATCAGTCGGAGAGAAAAATCAAATTTTCGCTGTGTGGACTTAATATTTTGAAAAAATCACTCTGCTTTAGACGGTATAGAGAGTGTTAGGTAACCAGCAGTTCCCCTACAATCCCCTACTATAGTCTATACCTAATTCCCCTACTATACGTAATACCCTATAATTCTTGTCTAGAACATCAGCTGTAATCAATTACGTAATACAGTGTCTGCTCTAACTAATTAACCCTGCCTCAGAGAGGTGGTACCTTTAGTGTGTACTTAAGTTATGGGTTATATACACACTGTTTTACTGTGTAAAGACAACATAACGATCCTTATTCCGGTCTAGAGCTGCTGAGGATTGCAGTTCACATACACCTTATAATTTCTATTGAAGTTCATTATCATACCTTATCAATTAATTAGAGTGTATAGAAACAGGTGCCAGTAAAATGACATAGTTTACACACTGTCAGTATACTGATTACTGCCATTTCGGGTATAATTCGTGGCACCTTCCCTAGTCCCTACCTCTTACTGCGGCGGTGTTTCTGTTAGGATCATACTCAGTGAAGTATATTATGCATTATTATAGCCTGTACATTTCAATCAAGGTTTTTATTTTAGTATAGTATGATACGTTCATTTTAGTGTGATAAGAATTTTAGTATTTTTAGTAGGGTAAGTTGAGCGTATAATTTAGTAGGGTAAGTTGAGCGTATAACTTAGTAGGGTAAGTTGAGCGTATAATTTACTTAATAACTTTGTTGTGTGGAAACCCTGCACTCTGGGAACGTCTATAATTCATGAATAAATTGCTAGTAAATTACAGGTTAATAATCATTATATTATTATTTAAATAAGCTTCACATGGCACTGACTCGCAGATTATACTCGCTTATATACGGAGTATAATTGACAGTTCTAAACCAGAGATTAATGACGAGCTGCACACCGCATAACTCTCTGATCTTCAGTATAAAATGCAGTGTAATAACTACTGTCTAGTGTGTACGCGTGCGGCACGTACACGGCACGTACGGCACGTACACGCCACGTACACGCCACGTACAAGACACGTTCACGGAACGTACAAGACATGTACGGCACGTACCGTTTACACACTATCATGTGTATAACTGTGTACTGTGTAGCTGTGAGCTTGTTACCATGATTATTTCAATCCGTACAAACCACTTTAACTCTTTAACGACTGTATTCAGCTCGTGTGGTCTCTACTCTCTCTCTCTCTCTCTCTCTCTTGTCAAAACTATTTGAAAATTAGCTCAAGTAAGTTAAGATCCGGATATATGCACTATTTACACTGCTCATTGTACAATGTACAATGTACAGTGTACACACACTAAGATTGCTTCCAGGAGAGAGCCGCGCTTTACTGAGAGATCCATATCCTTGTTTTGCCATGATATTTGGAGGAATAATCGTCCGTTAACCATTTTATTCGGAAATGTGGCAAAATCTTTATAAAAATTTGCGTCCATTGAAGTGCAGACAAAAGTTGTCATGAAAAGTCAGAACCTTGCCAAAGGTCTACAGACTCCATCCAGTGTTTTACAGGGAGACAGATGCTCTTGAACAATTTAAATTACTGTACGTGACCGTAATTGTGTACGTGACCATAATTGTGGACCAAATATATTATCACAGTGGACCACTTATAGTTAAATCCAGTCTGGGTAAGTTCCATAATGTACATTAACTTCAAGTATTTATACCATAATTATGCTTGTGTAATGTGAAATTGCACCGGTATAGAAATGAGGCAGTTTTATTGTTCGTAAGTTAATTTAGGTTACAACTGAGTAACAGAGTTGTACCAGCTTACCAGGAATCAGGGAAGATGTAGGTGACAAAGAGAAAGAGAGAGAGAGAGTAATGATTATTGTCTTACTTCCCTATAATATCATGTATAGTGTAAATGTGTTTTAACTTTATATAGGCCCCTGTACTGAAATGAGAGTTGTTAATAACAGAATAGTGAATCAAAATATTAAAGAATTGGTGTAATTAGCGGTAATTTGTAGTGCCCATTTTACCTGACAACACTAAAATATACCTGTAACTAATTCTTAACAGGGCTACGATACGTTATGTGGCGAGAGAGGGAGTCAGATGTCAGGAGGGCAAAAGCAGCGCATAGCCATTGCACGTGCACTAGTGCGCGACCCTAAGATTCTCCTTCTTGATGAGGCGACCAGTGCTCTCGATAACAAATCGGAGAAAATAGTGCAACAGGCACTAGATAAGGTGGGGAAAGTTTATAACACTGCAAAAAAAATGGGTTAAGATTTAACTTATATATTGTCGTGAAATTAATTTGGATTCAAGATTTAATGCAACAGAAATCGTACTTAAATCTCCATGAAAGTATGTAACTGTAAGACTATTATAAAGGAGTATTTAGTATTGTAAAAGTTGAACACTCCAGGCTAGAGAAGGACGTACGACTCTGATAATAGCACATCGTCTCTCAACAATACGGGATGTAGATAAGATATACGCTTTATCAGACGGAGCTGTATTGGAGGAGGGGACACACGAGGAGCTGATGAAGGTTACTGACGGACTATACCGGGGTCTGGTTAACTACCAACAAGCTGTTCAGGTAATTACTAGTGTAGGTTACTGACGGACTTTACCGGGGCCTGGTTAACTACCAACAAGCTGTTCAGGTAATAACTAGTGTAGGTCACTGACGGACTTTACCGGGGTCTGGTTAACTACCAACAAGCTGTTCAGGTAATTACTAGTGTAGGTTACTGACGGACTTTACCGGGGTCTGGTTAACTGCCAACAAGCTGTTCAGGTAATTACTAGTATAGGATCAATTAACTCATTAATTAGTCATAATTAATTAGCATTGAACAGTTAATTCCGTTATGGAGTACCTACATAGCGGGTTGTAGTCTGTAATAATGTTTCTGATAGGAAAAATTAGTGCAACTAATTGACTTATTAATCAAAAAAATAATTAGTTATTATTTAATTAATATAATTATCAGGATGAAGATGAGAAGGCTATGACAGTTTCAGACAAGGTTGTAAGTATAATGACGGCGGATGGAGTTGAGCTCCCCTCAACTCTACAGGAAATAAAGGTTCTTATACTTCTTTCAGACGCATTCTTTTATTATATGATTAAAGAAATTTACATTTCTTGAATGATAATTTCTTGAAACGTTCGCAATTCTAAACATTCCCGAAATTTTCTTTATTTATCATAAAAATATCCTTATTACTTTATTACTTGCTATACCTTAAACTCTTCAACGTGTTTTACCTATGTTAAAATTCCGTAAATTCAATGTCGATTTATATGTTTTCTCAAGAATAAATTTTATAAAGGTTGCACTTTGATTGATTTATCATTACATCAAAACTATTAATGTAAATTGTCGATATGTTTTTCATTTATTTTCATCAAAATTATGAACAGCATACGATTCAACAGGTCGAACTTGAACAAATATTGGATGTAGGTTTAGTGTGTTGTTTTGATGTTGAGCCAATCGCTTATCTTACAAAAATCTTACAAAAATCTTACAAATATCTTACAAATATCTTACACAGATCTTACACAGATCTTACACAGATCTTACAAAGATTTTACAAAAATCTTACAAATATCTTACAAAGATCTTACACAGATCTTACACAGATCTTACAAATATATTACAAATATCTTACAAATATCTTACACAGATCTTACACAGATCTTACAAAGATCTTACAAAAATCTTACAAATATCTTACAAAGATCTTACACAGATCTTACACAGATCTTACACAGATCACTACCGTTAAATGTGAACACTCTTTTTAGTCTTTGTGAACAGTAACTCATTACATATACTATTTAAATGGCAATTGTCAATGTTAAGTGTTTACATGCTCATTACTCATTGTGTCTATGTGTGAGATTTGAGAGTCCAATAATTTGTTATTATCAATTTATCAACGAACTGAAAAGTTGTTGTTTTAAATTAACTCGCTTGATTACTTAATTGTTGCATGCTCAGGATACATTTAATGGAAAAGTTGGAAGTCCTGTAAAAGAGTCCCGGTATGTTTTGGACATGCTTTCTGACGCTGAAGAAGAGGTTAAAATCTTAACATTTTATATTTTCATTCGATTATTTCATGTAGAACCTTTCATAGAACCTTTCAGACTCATAGATCCTCTCAAATGTCGGATTTTACAGTTTGAAAAAAAGAAAGAAAAAAGATCTGTTCAAAACACATCCCAGGGATCAAATCATCATCTTATGAGATTAAACAGATTGTAACAGCAGGTAAAAGTAGTGACTGACGAGAAAGTGGAAGAGATCCCTGAGGAAGAAATCAAACCAGCTACGTTTTTGGAGATATTAAACGAATGTAATCATGCCGAGTACACTCTGATGGGTAAATACTACAACTCATAATATAATATTACCATTAATGGTAGAAAGAAAGCAGAAGTTAACCCGAATATCTTTATATCTTTAGACTAAAATATTATTAGCTATAATTGTTCCTCATCAACTATTTAAGGTAACAAAAATTAGTGAAATATCTTACTTATCTCTGAAACTCTTAACTTGCTGAGCTTCTATAACGTGCTCCTATAAGTATTATAAATTATAACGTCTCCTATTTTCACGTGGTGTGACGTCATGTCACGTGGTGTGACGTCACACTATAAGTTTGAAGTATAAGTAAAACTCTTTGTTCATTTAGACTTAATCACACTGAGGTTAAAACATTCTGAAACATTATAAACATTAGTATTAAAATAACTGAAACAAATAAACAAGAAATATAACAATCTCCCCGAATAAATAAACACAACTACAAAATCAAGATCGAAAAGTGATCCCGTGCGCGTGCGCGCGCAAAGTTTAAAACAGAAGTGCTTACAAAAACTTTGACCTAAGATGGCGTCCTAGAGTAGACCCTTTCAAAGTGCCAATTTAAAATGTGCACGGCACAAAATATAAATTACCTTCCTAACACAGGTTCTAAGAATAATGCCGATTTCCCTACTCGGGTAAAAATTCAATTAAACCTCCGACAGGCTAAATATAATAAATACGTCAGTCACGCTCTATTGAACGGAATACAAAACAATCAGAATTCAATTCTAATAAAGAGAAAAACATCTACTTCGGAAATACCCAATTCAGGTGAATATGAAACATGAATGTGAAACATAAGTATGAAACGTAAATATGAAAACCGTGAATATGAAATGTTTACTGATAGCCAGAGTTACTAGACGTGCTATCAGGTGCTGGATACAACACTGTGGGAGTTCTGTCTCTACCAGATCTACGCAGTCTTATAGGATTGTCAATAGTTTTGGTTACAGCCTCATTATTACTTTCGTTTTCATTAATCACATTATCTGAAGGCACAATACTGTCATGAACATCGGAAGTCACAATATTGTCAAAAGCATTAGGCCGGGAATCATCACCAATAGGAGCTAGGTGTTTATTGGAGACCGTCAGCTCTACCCCTTCTCCAGTTCTGACATGACTGGTGTTAGGATTGACGTCCAGAAGCTCCACTTCTTCTACGAGAGGATCGTACTTTGATCGATTGGTGTGACGTTTCATTAGTGCTTTAGAGTTATCTGTTAGCCACCAAGGAAGAGAGCTACCAGTTGTTGATTTACGAGGAAAATTAAACACACGTTCGTGAGGGGTATCGTTAGTTGCAGTGCAGAGGAGGGACCGTATAGAATGTAAAGCATCAATAATCACCTGCTCCCAAAGTTTTAGTGGAAGTTTTCTCGTCCTTAAGGCTAATTGTACAGCCTTCCACACTGTTCCATTGTATTTCTCCACTTGACCGTTTCCTTGGGGATTAAAACGTTAAGAACGGCTTGTAGCAATGCCTTTTTCTAGTAGCCATTTCTTGAGTTCTGCAGACATGAACCCACTACCCTGATCGGAGTGAATGAAGGACGGCATGCCAAATACTCCAAAGATTGACGTTAGACAGCTTTTGACAGAATCGGTGGAAGTGTCGGTACAGGGAAAAGCAAAGGGGTAGCGAGAATATTCATCTACGATAGTGAGGATGAATTTGTTTTTCGTGTTTGTTGGGAGTGGTCCCTTGAAATCCAGGTTCAAACGCTCAAATGGGGCCGTAGCTTTTATAAGATGCTGGGGCTGTTGAGGTTTAAAATAGCGTGGCTTAACCTCGGCACAATCCCTGCAGGATCTTGTCATTTTCTTAATATCTTCCACAGAGACAGGAAGATTCCGAGAGCGAACAAAGTGAGACATACGCGTTACTCCTGGATGGCAAAGCTGATCATGTAAGGCTTTTAGACTAGTGATCGCTGAGCAATGAGGATACACTAATCGAGATAAAGCATCGGCTGGAAGGTTATCTTTTCCAGGCCTGTGCATAATGTCAAATGCATAAGGCGAAAGCTCAATCCTCCAACGGGTTATTTTATCGTTCTTAATTTTATCATGGTTTAAGAGACCGAACATGAAGGAAACTGACTGTTGATCCGTGATGACAGTGAATTGGGACCCTAGGAGGTAGTGTTTCCATTTACGAATTGCCTCCACGATAGCGTAAGCTTCTTTCTCTACTGAGTGATGATTGCGCTCTGATGAGTTAAGAGTTCTGGAAAAGAATGCAATCGGTCGAGTGGATTGACAGAGAGTAGCGCCAATTGCATAGTCTGATGCATCCGTTTCTAGAGTAAAAGGAAGATTAGGATCAGGCGTGGCCAGGACAGCTTTGGCAATTTCAGATTTTAACAGTTGAAATGCTTTTATCTGTTTGTCATTGAGAGGAAATGAAGTGACATGAGACAGGGGGTGAATCTTGTCTGAAAAGTTCTTGACCCACCTAGAGTAATGAGCGAACAAGCCAAGTACACTCTTTAGGGATTTGTCATTGTTGGGTGCAGGCATACCCAGGAGAGGTTGTATTCTGTCAGGATCGGGCTTTATGGAATTATGACTAACAAGATATCCAAGAAGCTTAATCGAAGTGACCCCGGACACTGTTTTACTATCATTAAATTCAAGATTGTACTTAGCAGCAGCTGTAAGGAATTCTGCTAGGTTATTATCATGCTCCTCCTTAGTCATGCCTACGATGGTGATATTATCAACATATACGTATACACCAGATAGGTGTTCTGCAGCTATGATATCGTTGACAGTTCTTTGAAAGGCAGACACTCCGTTAGTCACCCCGAAAGGGATAAACATGAAACAGTAGAGCTTACCATCAGCTTCGAAAGCGGTATATTCTTGCTCGTCTTCGGCAATAGGGACCTGGTGGTAAGCAGATGAGAGATCAAGTGTACTGTAGTACTTGCGCTTTAAGATATCTTCTACCATCTCGTCGATTCGAGGGACTGGATAAGCATCCAATTTAGTAAATCTGTTTATCGTTTGGGAGTAATCGATGACAAGGCGTTTCTTGTGATTCTCATTCCCTTGGTGGACCAGGACCTGGGCTCTCCATGGAGACTCGCACTCTTTAATGATTCCTGCTTCTAGCAGCTTTTTAACCTCGACTCTGATAAATGTTTTATCAATGTTAGAATATCTCCTTGATTTGATACTTATAGGGTGGCTGTCTCCCTCTAATTGTCCAAAGAGCTTCGGTGTTTTGATGAGACAAGCAGCTGCAGATACAATAGTAGGAGGTTTGTGGCCTCCAAACTCCAATGTCACGGATTTGTAATCAGAAAGGATATCTAGTCCTATGATCATATCAGCACATAAGTCCTTCATTACCACAATCGTTTGATTTGGTAATAATTCACCATTGAAATGTACATCTACTGTACAGTGACCGACAGGATGAGAGATGTGGGATGAAGAGGCCATACTGACAGGTGCATGGTCTCCGCGATTAATGTCCCATTGATGCTTCCGGACACTGGCATTACTGAGAAAAGTTGCTGAACTTCCAGAATCTACCAAGGCATCAAGCTCTCTTCCATTGACAAGGACTCTGGTAATACTCTTGGACAAGCATGGAGGCGAAGCTGCAAGATAATGGTTGTGAAGAGCCGATGATGTCCCGTTTTGGGATTGAGAGCTACTGTGAGGGACTGCTGATGATGTCATATTCTGAGAGCTACGATATTGATTGTTACGTCGATTCTTGCCGCGGGCACTGCCGCCCCGAACTTGAGATTGGCGACCGGCTTTGCAGACTTTCTGGAAATGTCCCTGAATTCCACAACCGTTGCAGTTAGAGTTAAAAGCAGGACAGGCCTGTCTGTTTGTGTGCGGTTTGGGCCCACCGCAGAAATAACAGGAGAATTGAAATGGAGCAGCTGCTACGAAGTTGTCATCATGGTTAGCACACCCTTCTGAATCTGACACTGATTCATTGTTATTAACAATTGCGTTGAGAGATGAACTTTGGTTGACATAAGATTGGGCCTGAACCTTTGCTGCCTCTAGCCCTCTAGCTAAGGAATAGATGTCTGACAATGCAGTCTTCTCGCTTTCCAATACCCGTTGACGTATACCAGGAGACTGTAGGCCAGCTATAAATGCCTCTCTTATGGCTTCATTTTGGTGTGTAGCCTCATTTACTGCACCGAAAACGCAGTCTTTGGCTAAAAATTTGAGTTTTTGGTAATAGGCGTCCACTGTATTGGAGTCTTGCTTGCAAGTGTTAAGCAGGTGTCGTGCAAAAATGACGTTCCTCTTAGGATTGAAGACACTCTCCAATGCTGCAATTGAGGCTGTGTAATCAGCTGTCTCCGAAATATGAGCATAGATCTCCGTGCTTACATAGTTTACGAGTAGGTCCTGTTTGTTAGCCTCCGTAATGCTAGTGATTGATCCAATGAACTTCACGAACCTAGCTTTCCAGTGCTCCCACTCCTTGGAACTGTTGGCGGCAGAGGGGTCGGCGCTAAAAGTCTCAGGACGCAGTAGTTTGTCCATAGTTGTTACCTCAGTGTGATTAAATGAAGTATAAGTAAAACTCTTTGTTCATTTAGACTTAATCACACTGAGGTTAAAACATTCTGAAACATTATAAACATTAGTATTAAAATAACTGAAACAAATAAACAAGAAATATAACAAAGTTGTATTTAAACGTTCCCTATTTTCACGTGGTGTGACGTCACACTATAAGTATTATAACGTTCCATATTTTCACGTAGTGTGACGTCACACTATAAGTTTTGTAATGTTCCATATTTTCACGTGGTGTGACGTCATGTCACGTGGTGTGACGTCACACTATAAGTATTATAACGTTCCATATTTTCACCACCAGGATAACACTCTCTCCCTCAGGTTTGGGAAGTCTGGGTGCGGCAGCTAATGGTGTTACTATGCCTGTCTTCGCGGTCCTCTTTGCTGGTGTTATTAATGTGAGTCTACTGTTTCTCTTTCTCTCTCTTTCTCTTTCTCTTTTTAGTAGTTATTAATGTGAGTCTACTTTTTCTCTTTCTCTTTCTCTTTCTTTTCTCTTTCTCTTTCTCTTTTTAGTAGTTATTAATGTGAGTCTACTTTTTCTCTCTTTAAGTCTTTAGTATTTTGAGTAGCCAGCATGATTTGATGATTTCTTTTATTGTGCAGAAAAGATGACTCCACTTCGTGAACCATGTTAATGTAGAAGTAGATGATCTTATGATGAACATTTTATATCCAAACTTAATTTTCAAAAGATGTACAAACACTATGTAACCTGCAGGATCTAGTAGAACTAGCCGTTGCTCATCAAGCAGGAGAGGATCCGGATTTCAGTAAAACTGACAAATGGGCCATGTACTTTGCCTTCCTGGGAATTGGGACTGCACTTGCTTTCTTCACCCAGGTACTACGGTTTTAAAGTTACTAAATCAAATAGCTAGTACAATAACTAAAATAATTTAAAAACAGATGCTAAATTCAGTTGTCATCATCGTCTCCTCTGCTGTTATTATATTTCGGAATGTATTTATGTTGATAAGATTGATAAAGTACTGCGTCACAATTAGTCTTTATCTACTGAAAATTCGTATAACATTTCATTTTGTTTGCTTTATTTGCTTTTAATACACTCATCAAGTATTTATCCCTCCAAAAATTTAACGCGATTTCAAAATTTTACCACGTGTCAAAATTCACGTGTCAAAATGATAGATTATAACATTACTGACTATTTCTACATGACTCTACTTCAGACATGTCTGAAGTATGTATACTGTATTGGACTTATGAGCGAGAGTTTCACTTTCACTTTCACTTTCACTTTCACTTTCACTTTCACTTTCACTTTCACTTTCACTTTCACTTTCACTTTCACTTTCAATTCTACATGACTCTACTTCAGACATACTGTATTGGACTTATGAGCGAGAGTTTCACTCGAAGATTAAGAGTCAGATCTTTTAAAGCTATTCTACGACAGGTAACTTCATAAATGACAGTTTTTCAATTGCCATCCAACATTTTTTATTATATAGTGCTCATGTTTTATACCGCAGAAATAAACTAAGCACTGACAGCGAAAGATTTTCAAAGTTTCAACTTTAGATCCACTTTAATTTCAGAATTTAGCGTTTTTCGACGACCCCGCCAACTCAATCGGAGCCCTTACCACCAGACTATCCACTGAAGCAAACGCTGTCAAGGATGCCACAGGTGAAAATGATTAAGATTAATAAACTAGATCAGAACCTGCTCGAATGTTTTATAAAATTTCCGTTGCAGCAGGTAAAATTATCTAATTACCAAGAAATAATCAGAGATTATGTCTACAGTAATCACTATGATCACCACATGTTACACCGTGTCAGTTATCAGGTTAATCTACTGAATCACACCACTTGACCACAATATTACCATGGAAACCTGTAGCTGCAGGTACACATGTCACACCACGTGACCACAATATTACCATGGTAACCTGCAGGTACATTTGTCACACCACGTGACCACAATATAACCATGGTAACCTGCAGGTTTACTTGTCACACCACGTGACCACAATATAACCATGGTAACCTGCAGGTTCACGTGTTGCTACCGTGATCCAGGTTGTGGTTGGAATGTCTGCCGCGCTTGTTATAGCTTTTATGACAGAGTGGAGATTGGCTCTGGTATGCCTGGGTTGTATTCCCTTCATCGTAATTGGAGGTTTGTGGAGTTATGTAGCCAAGTTCATTCCTGTTTAGTGTTACTGAAAAAGATATTATTAAAGGCTGATTATTTGAGTTTAATGATTAAAGACTTTAAAGTTAACCACAGGAAAAGTTATAATATTATCTTAATTTTTGGACTTGTTCGGTGGTTTATCTGAAGAATATGGATAATCGAGGCATCTTTGTAGGTATAGGTTTAAAACTATCGAATAAACTCCCACTTTTCAGGTATAATTCAGATGTGGCAGGTAACTGGAACTACCAAGGGAGTAGCTAAACTTTACGAAGCTTCAGGTACTAATTGCCTAATTAGCTAAACTTTACGAAGCTTCAGGTACTAACTGTCTAAATAGAGATATATCTCTAAGTGACTAAATCTGCCGATAGAAGTTTACAGCACGTTGTGTAATATTTCCTTATTTCTTTTCATTTTCAATTTAGAGGGTTATTGGAATTTCTGAATGGTTATTTGACGGTTAGTTACGTTTCTATACAGTATGCATGCACAATGCACATGTTAGTATTGAGTTACTGAAACTGCGTTTTATCAGGTAAAACAGCAGCTGAGTCAATAGAGAACATAAGGACAGTAGCCTCACTTGGTATAGAGAACCTCTTCTATAAACACTACTGTCAAGCGCTCAGAGCACCCAGGAGGTACAATTTTATTTAATTCCGGTTATTTGCCACACCCTTTTCCTTTTCTCATAGTCCGCGATGAATCGACGTTTCAGTGTAAGTGTTTGATATCACTTGAAATTACTGTTACCCCACCAAAATTAAGGTCTAAAATATTAAAATTCCAGAGAAACGACCCGGAAAGCTCACGTAGTGGGTCTATGTATGGGTCTGAGTGAAGCGGCTACTTATTTCACCTTCGCTGCTGTGTTTGGGTACGGTAGTGTTCTCATTGCAGACGGGCTAACTAGCTTTGAGGATGTTGTTAAGTGAGTTACATACATATTACATGTCTGTTTCATTTTGTTAAGTGAGTTGTTTTGTTTATGTGGTTTATTTATTTTTCGGCACATATTCAGTGAGTGAAGAAAGTTTCTAAAATGAAAATTTACAGCAATTATTTTGTTTCCCCAATTTTACTCCCAACATAAAATATCAAGAAAAATATGGTATTTTTAAATTATTGGCAGTGGTTATAATTAAAAAGCAATTCATTGAACAAAAATAGATATTTAAACACAATTTTAATATAACCTCAATACAAGATCTTTTAAAAAAAACAGGAATGAAATAAATATAACTAAATTCCTGGAGCTGGAGTCTGAACATTAATGATATAAAATCGTTTACAATTTACCTAATTACCTGAATCAAATTTCAGTCATTTTAGACCCTTCCCCTCGACCCGGAAAGCCAATTTACAAATAGCTATTGTAGTTATTGCGGGTATTGCCTATTGTATAGAATCCGTGATCTCAGTAGTTACAGGATCATTTGTGGGGCCAATGTTTCTCATTTCAATTATTTCTCCTGCTGCATGCTCTGCCACTATCACTGTAGACATTACAATGTCTCTCTCAGTCTCATTCCTCCAGAGGTTCCTCGCTGACAACACTGTGTAACTCGTTACCATGGTGATCATTGATGTTGCATAAACAAACAAGGATCTCACTGCTCGGAGGTTGAGGTGCTTAGAGATGCTGTCATCATAAAGGATAGGGTTAATCATTGAGTTTATAGGTAAAATACCAATAGAGAAGATTGAGTACAAAAATGTTGCATCCAGCACCTCACACGAATGTAGGACACAGATCACAATGAATGGTACCCAGCAGATAAAGTCCGTACAGATGATAAATGCGATCTTTCTATTAGTTCTCCTCCTCCTTTTGGATGCTGCATCATTTTTTTGGACGTTAACAGCATGGGATGAACGTGTTGTTATGACTCCTATGGAGATGTAGCAGACTGCTATTATTAAGAAGCACAGCAGGTCTATTCCTAGAATTGTCCAGACAAAATGTCTCTGAGGGTCCGTGTTTTTGACGAAGTATTTGAAGAGACACACTCCATCGTTTCCATAAAAAGTGACTTTCCTTCTGGTTTCAGTGATGTTTGTGTAGTCATAGTCATGTGAAAATATACCATCCACCATTTTATTGATCATATGCCAAGACAGTGTCCGGTTTTTCATTCTCCCATAGAAGCCTTGTAAGCCCGCAAAGTGAGTCTCCTTGTTGACTCGTCCTATGAATATTCTCATCGCAGCGTCGTACGTCAACCCATTGACGAAGTAGTCCTCAAATCTATTAATCAGTGGAAATACCGATATGAAGGTAGCTACTGAGCAAAGAAGGAAACCTGTCAATAACATCTTAAGTTTCAGTTTGGAGGTAACATCACCTTGGGGCTTCATGACAGAGTAAACTCCTTTAATTCGAGTCATGCTCAGCCCCGTCATGGCAAATAAGGAGATCTGTGATCCCATGGAGCTTATCACCCCTAGTACCTGGCAAAAAGTACTAGTGAGCCACATGTTCTGTTGGGAGCAGTAATCGTGTCCGTATATTATAGTGTCAAGAGTAGCGATGAAAAGTAGATATACACCTATTAGTAAGTCCGCATATGATATCATTACGATGAGGCATTTGTTTACAAATACCATTGATTTGTCACAAGTTTTGAGAAACACAATGCTCTTTATGATGACCCAGAAGTTTGCAGAAACGGCCGTCACCCCCATAGTCCAAGACATCAAAACCAAGAACCAGTTCTTGAGGATTCTAACTGAGCAATCTTCATTACACTCATCTGATAGATTAGAGCAGTTGATAGTGCCATCACATTTGTTTGTAATCGGAATATAGAAGCCTGTGTCAGTGCACTGGAAATGGTTTGTACACATGTTTTCGTCAGAACCGTCACCACAGTCGTCCACTAGGTCGCATACCTGTTTAAATTCTAAACATTTGTAATTGTTCTTACAAGCAAAGTAATCCATTATATAAGCAGCTTGACGTTTTCTTAGGAAGGTTAGATGTTTGTTGTCGGCAATGGTAAAGACTTTGGAATATAATTGTTGAGAGCACTGTTCTGGACTTCCAAGGCTTTGGATGGGGCATGAAGAGTTGATACATTTTTTACTACAACTTGTCAGAACGTAATTCTCCCCAAACAGGCTGTCACACTCTATGGCTTTGGATGGAATGTGGATTTGAATGTTAGTCTGTCCGAAAACACCAAGAGTTTCATTACCAAGAAAGTACTGGTTCACGCATTCATCTTTGAGGTGTTCAATGTTGCCAAGTCCTCGAACACAGTATGAAAGATGTCTACTCAGACCATCTGATGAACTTAGTGAAATTGAGGAGGGTATCTCGATTGATAAACGAGCAAGTTTGCAGACTTGGAGTTCATTACCACATGTCTCTATACCATCGCACAGCTGTTCGAATTCAATGTAGTCCGCACGTCCGGATGAACAGAGGTATACATTTCCACAGGATGCAGCATCTCTAACATATCGAAATGTTTTTCCTTGTCCACAACTTGGCCAATCTTTTTCTTCGTCCTTTCCATCTGTGCAATCTCTTTCACCGTCTTTTAACCAAGCTAACCGGATCGGAAGATTTCCCGCTGTTGTTAGAAGTCTACGTGTGCACGTTTCCACAGTGAGACTAGAATTTCTGCAACGAAAAGTTTTTTCGTCGCTTTTGTCTGTGCAATCGTCCTTGAAGTCACACAGGCTGTGTTTATGCACGAAACATGCTGACGAAGTTTGAACGCAATGCGTATCAAAATGGTCATCACACAAAGGGTTCCCTATGCATATTTTCTGTGAGGATATGCTCGAATTATACCCTTCAATCTCACAGAAAATTCCGACTTTTAAGGGATCGGAGCAGTTTGTCTGGTCTAAAAATTTGTCACAGTAAGGCTCGAAGTGCATCATAGTTGCACATCTGAAGTGGTCTGGAAGTGGTACCTTGACCTGCATTATATTGTAGACCGAAAAAAATGTTGACAGTGTGCAGGAAGATTGCGTATCATTCGAGACTAAACATGTGCTGTCATACGTTTCTGGACAATTCCTGATGGTGTTGCAGCTTCTCATGGGGCTCAAGTAATCCTTCTTCACATTTGAGTATTTGATGTCACAGTAGCTTCCGTATTTATATCCGTTACAATTAGCCTCATCCTCACATGTTTGCATGTCACATCTATCATTGCACAAGTCACTGGCATAGGTCTGTTTCCCGCTTGGAAGTTCCGCCATTTCACTACCTTCTTTTTGACACCCAATTTCTTCAGCAAGATTATTGTTGAAACAATCCTGGATATCCTCACACAAATAGCCGGACTGATATATGCTGTCCTTGTGAGTCACGAGTGAACCAATAAACGAGGGTACAACCTCAGAGCAAATGAAGACTCCGCAAAGCGTCTTCCCGTCTCCCTTCATAACCGCGGCGGTGATCGCATCCAATTTGCAGGCCTGGTAGAAGTATGGGTCGTTTGAGCAAGTGATGGTATACTCATTGACAAGAACAAGTTCGGTAAGCTGCACTAGACCCAGTCCATACACTTCATCAGAATGCGTGCATTTGTAGATAAGTTCTTGGTTTGCACATTTCACGTTTCGCAGAAACCCGTTCACTTCGGTTAACTGCCAAGAGGCGTCTTCGTTAGAATTTGGAAGTGTTTGACAATCTGAAATGTTTAATGCTAGTGTTGGACAATTCCACGTTAAGCTGTTAAGGTCGCGTTTGGTGAAAATGCGAAATTTTTAGACAGGCACATAATTTTAGTGAAAATAAGTTCTCTAGACTTTCAACGTTATTAAGCTAGGTAACCAATGTTTTTTGTTTGATATTGAAAGGCAGTAAAACTATCAGACCGCGATGAATGGGGACTTGCCATATTAATATCCATGAAATTCCATTTACTGAAGTACGGTTCCAAAAATTAGACCTCTGCAAAGTGTCAAAACTGTTCAGATCAAACAATTTTTCTCAAAAATATCCGTAAGGACGGTGTCGCGTTATAATGCTAAAAAACCACTGTAACCTTTCTCTTCTGTCAAAGGCAAAGGAGTACCATAGTGGTGTCGCGTTATGCTAAAAAACCACTGTAACCTTTCTCTTCTGTCAAAGGCAAAGGAGTACCATAGTGGTGTCGCGTTATGCTAAAAAACCACTGTAACCTTTCTCTTCTGTCAAAGGCAAAGGAGTACCATAGTGGTGTCGCGTTATGCTAAAAAACCACTGTAACCTTTCTCTTCTGTCAAAGGCAAAGGAGTACCATAGTGGTGTCGCGTTATGCTAAAAAACCACAGTAACCTTTCTCTTCTGTCAAATGCAAAGGAGTACCATAGAATTTGTCAGGATCTTATCTTTCACGATAAACATTTTGGAAGGACGGTCCGAACTTGCCACGTCCGTTACATTTTTACATTTTTTTGAAACTTTTCTAAAAATCTAAAGATTTATTCTAAGCTGAGACCGTCTTAGACAAAAAGATGTGATGTTTTCATATTTTCAGATCCAAAATTGAACAGAAAATGACTGAGTTATGGACACGTTTTTTTTTAAGTGTGGTGAAAATGACTTTGAGTGCCATGACACTTTTGACAATTAAAGTAAAATGACTAGTAACTAGAAAGTGTTGCACAGAAATGCCTTTAATCTTAACTGCCCCTGTAAGGAAAATCCATTAGTTAGTTAATATGTCATAATATAGTACCAAGGTAGTGCCAGTTTTCAGCATTTTGGACTATAATGTTTAAAACGCCCGTAAAAAACTGAATTTTGCGACTTTTCTGTTCAAAATTCAGATTATGTCTCAGAAGTATTCAAAGAATATTTGGATTGGGGTAGGAATACTTGAACTGTGCTCAAAATAAGCAAAAAGTCATTTGTTTGGTAAAATTTCTAGTTTGGTTGAAGGGGTTGTACAAGGCCCATACTTTCGATCAGCTTGTGAATGAACT